GTTACTTGCTGTCACCCCGACGTCAATCGCCCTCTATCAAGCCAGTCAAGGCTCCAACAAACTCTGCTGAGGGGAGTTGTCGCTCGTTGGCATCTTCCGCTCGTTCAGATGCTCCTTCTCCTGCTACTCCTCTTCGTCGGATTCCGTCAGCAGTCTTTCTTGGAATCCGTTTCCAAGAGACAACAGTTTGCGAGCACAGCACCGACGGTGCAGAAGCTGAACGTCCTCCTGTCCAAGTTGCTGGTGCTGCAGTCCCTCCCTTTCCAAGTGGTGGACTCAGCACCTTTCCTGAGAAATGATGGCTTGTGCCGCGCGCCGCGGTGGAGAGTGCCAAGCCGGCATTTCTTCTTTCACCAAAAAAGGCAGTGCCAGCCCTGCATTCACATGTAGAAGAGATGGTGGGCCAGTCTTTGAGCATGTCGGTCTCTGCCAAAGTGCACGGCAGCGCTGACGTGTGGAGCTGTAACTACGGTCAGGGACAGTACATGTCATTTACGGCCCACTGGGTGAACGTGGTGCCGGCACAGCCGCACCAGCAACTTGGACAGGTCACGCCGCTTTTGCCTCCACGTTTGCACGTCCTTGGTCCAGCAAAGATGTCCGCCTCTACCACCTCTTCTTCCGCCGTGTCCTCAGCCGCCACCCCCCGTGCCAAGTCCCATTACCGACCGGCATATCACATGTGCAGGGCGCAACGGTGTCACGCTGTGCTGCACCTGGTATGCCTTGGCGAACGTAGTCACACAGGGGAGGAACTTCTGAGTGTAATGAACAGAGAAATCGACAGATGGCTGTCTCCGCGCAAACTGAAAATCGGAACCATGTTGACCGACAACGGAAAGAACATGGTGTCTGCTCTGCGTCAAGGAAGGTTGTGCCATGCGCCATGCATGGCTCACGTGTTCAATCTGGTTGTCAAGCGGTTCCTAAAATCCACCATCCCACTGCAAGACATCCTTAAAATGTCACGTAAACTTTGCATGCATTTCAGCCATTCCTACACCGCAAAGCACACCCTCCTTGAGCTGCAGCGGCAGAACGGAATTCCACAGCATCGCCTGATCTGCGACGTTGCAACAAGGTGGAATTCAACCCTACACATGTTAGACCGCCTTTACGAACAGCGAAAGGCCATCACCGATTTCCTGATGTTACAAGCGGATAAAGGTACTCCCCTGTGTAACTTCGATGTCAGCCATTGGCAGCTCATGCGTGACACCTGCCGCTTGCTCAGGCCCTTTGAGGAGGCCACGCTATTCGTGAGTCGGCAGGACTATGGGATGAACGACGTCATTCCTCTGTTGCACGTCCTGGAACAAATGAATGCTGTTAACAATGGCTGGTCAGGGTGCGGTAGACGTGGCGCACAGATCTCAACGCCACATGACCCCTGTGGGGGCAGGACAGGAAGAAGAGGAGGAGGTAGAGGAGGACATTGGTGCTCAGGAATTATTGAGTGAAATGGGTGGTTTTTCCACTCAGCGGACAGGAGTGGAGGAGCAGGAGCATCTGGTAGAGGAGGAGGAGGAGACAGAGGACCCAGACGCACCGTGGCAGTATGCTGTGGAGATGGAGGCAGGGAGTTCCCTCGCATTCCTTGGCACAAATGGCCCATAGCATGCTCGGTTGCTTGCGTAGCGACAGCCCGAATAATAACCATCAGACAGAGGGATGACTTTTGGCTGTCCACCTTGTTGGACCCTCGCTACGTTCAAAAATGGTGGCCTTTTTCACACCTGCTGAGAGGGAGGCCAAAATAAAGTACTATAAAAACCACCTATGTAGTCAGTTGGTCTCTGCCTTTGTGCGCCAACGTCCATCCTCAGACACTGTGGGCCCTGTGCGCTCGCGTTCCGCTGCCATGGCAGCAGGGGAGGGGTGGGGTGGTAGGAGCAGTGGCAGCTCCACCAGCAGCGGCTGCCTCAGTCTGCAGTCGATGATGAGTAGCTTTCTTCACCAGCGCAGTGAGGAAACTACTAACCAGCCGCAGCAGCAGCAGCATCAGGTGGACCTGGAGCAGGACCTCAAACAACAGGCTTGGGCCTACTTGGACAGCACCCTGCCAACCGAGGTAGACAATCCCCTTGACTACTGGGCAACGAAAACTTGACCTTTGGCCCCAACTAGCTGAATTTGCCCTTGAAAGGCTGTCATGCCGGCCAGTAGCGTGGCATCGGAGCGCGTGTTTTAGTGCGGCAGGAGGTATTGTAACTCCGCGGAGGACACGACTGTCCACCCAAAGTGTGGAGAGACTCACGTTTGTGAAAATGAATCAGGCGTGGATTAGTCTGGATTTCAAACCACCAGTTCCTGACACAACTGACTAAATCCGCCATGAATCATGCCCCAAACATGTTATTAGGGACAAATGGAAGACCTCCACCTGATCCGTACATTTGTATATATATTTTATTGAGAGGCTGCTGGTCGGCCGACTCATGTTTTGCACATTTTTAATGACTTATACTCTGCAGGTCGGGCCCTCATGAATTGGGGTTTTTAAATTATTTATACTTCGCTGGACGACCGTCACATGAATTGAACCTTTTTAATGACTTATACTCTGCTGGTCGGGCCCCCTCATGAATTGGTTTTTTTAAATTATTTATACGTCGCTGGACGACTGTCACATGAATTTAAACTTTTTAATTATTTATAGTCGACCAGTTCCAGACCGATGGAATAGCAATTTTTTTAAATATTTATTTGACACGTGTTGTCCATCTCATCAATGAGGTGGACTGTTTATTTATTGGCACGGTTTGGCCCCCTCCTGTTTCTTACATTGTTAACTTGTTGTATCGGTCACGGTTTGGCCACATGTTTGGTTGTCTTGTTAAGATTTTCTGTAATGTACACAGTTACGCTTGACTTGTCGACTTTCCACAATCTACTAAGGTATAGCATCGCATCAAAGTTTTTTTTTTTTTTTTTTGGTCTAAACCATTTCTTATAATGTCAATTTGTAGGATACGCCGCTGTAAGGCGACCTACTTTTTTGTCACTGTGTAGACATCTATTTATAGGCCGATGTTTGGCCAGAAAGATATATTTAGTAATAACCTAGCCGTTCAAGCCGCTCACTGAACACCTCGGGAATTGCTTTGTATATATCTGTCGCCTTAGGGGCCGCTGTCTGGCGACATAATTTTTTGTCACTGTGTAGACATCTATTTATAGGCCGATGTTTGGCCACAAAAATATATTTAGTAATAACCTAGCCGTTCAGGCCGCTCTCCCTGAACACCTCGGGAATTGCTTTGTATATCTGTCGCCTTAGAGGCCGCTGTCTGAACAGCTCATGAATTGCTTTCTATATGTGTCGCCTTTGAGGCCGCTGGCTGGACAGCTGATGAATTGATTTGTATATATGTACTTATTGTCCGCTGTCCGGACAGCTCATGAATTACTTTTTGTATATAGCCTTCCAAACCACTCTCAGAATAAGTCATGATATTCATGCTGTGTATAGCCTTATAGGCCAATGGTCAATCAAGTCATGATTGTTATAGTGTGTATAGCCTTATAGGCCGCTGTCTTTACAACTTTATAATTCCATGCAGTATATAGCCCTATCGGCCACTTTCTGGCATCCAGTTGCTGTAGCCCCCATCACCACACTGTGCCACGGGCCCCTGTACCGCCTTCTCATACTGCTGCCAGATCCATCCTCTGCCATGTGCGTCTTTGTCGTCTGCTCACGCTGCTGGGTTCCAGTTTTAAACCTAGGCCTGTGTATGGCTTCCGAATACTGCTGCCTCCACCGCCACCCTGCGCCATGTGCCTCTGTCGTCTGCTCACGCTGCTGACGGCTTCCGCTTTTTAAACTAGTCCTGTGTATGTCTTCCGAATACTGCTGCCTCCACCGCCACCCTGCGCCATGTGCCACTTTCGGGGCTCTCCTCACACTGCTGCCAGGTCCATACTGGCCATGTCATGGCCCCCTGTACCGGCTCCTCATGAACGTGGTTCAGTGGGTTTGCATCACTTAACGGCAAATCGTTGACAAACGCTGGGACGTTCAGTGTTGTGCGCATTAGGCCAGACACCAAAGGGCAGCACAGACCTGTTATTACTCGCTCAAGCATGGCTGAACAAAACCAGTCTCTACCACAAATTGGACCCAGACCTGCCCAGGGTCTCGTAAGTAGATTGCACGGAGGAGTAGAGTCCGTTATCGGAATTAAATAGACAAAACGCCACACCAAAAAGAGTGGCCATTTCCAACACTTATTCCAGAAAGAGGAACAACCCATTTCATATATGGCCCGTAGACGTTTCACGTCTGCCACATTCAGTCGATTTAAGACGCAAGCTCCACTTCCTGTGGTCTCTGACCGTCGATATACCTTTAAGTGTCAGCTTTGAAGCTATATTCCCTCCGGAGCACTGACACTGGTGCCCTTCCGTCAACATGCCTTTAAGTTTCAGTTTTCAACCATATTCCCCACAGAAGCCAAACTCTTGGGTATCCCAGAAGCTGCTCAGCGGGTCAGGGCAATAAAGCTCCCGGTTCGCAGGTTGTTCCGTCTTATGGATGGAAGTACGACGGTATATGATCTTCTTCGCACCCACGGCATCACCTCATAGAATCTCTGCATTGCATCTGCAATCACAACGCTGACTTCCCGGATCGCCACTCAGCCATTGGACTCTTGATAGTCGTCTCCCCACACTGCTGCTGGGGGGACTTTTTAACCTAGGCCTGTGTATGGCCTTCAATTGAAGCTGCTTCCGCTCCGCCACTCTGCCATTGGACTCTTGATAGTCGTCTCCCCACGCTGCTGCTGGGGGGACTTTTTAACATAGGCCTCTGTATGGCCTTTAATTGAAGCTGCTTACGCTCCGCCACTCTGCCATGGGCCTCTTGGGTATCCCAGAAGCTGCTCAGCGGGTCAGGGCAATAAAGCTCCCGGTTCGCAGGTTGTTCCGTCTTATGGATGGAAGTACGACGGTATATGATCTTCTTCGCACCCACGGCATTACTTCGTCACTCTGCCATGGGCCCCTGTACCGCCTCCTCTTGCTGCTGCCAGGTCCAGAGTGTGTCATGGGTCCCTGTACGGCCTCCCATTGCTGCTGACTTCATCGCCAGACTCTGCCATGTGCCACTTTCAGGTCTCCTTACACTGTTGGTGGGTTCCATTTTGTGATAGGGTGCTGTATGGCCTTCCGTTGCTGCTGCCCCCACCGCCACCCTGCGCCATGTGCTTCTGTCGTCTGCTCACGCTGCTGACGGCTTCCGCTTTTTAACCGAGGCCTGTGTTTGGCTTCCGAATACTGCTGCATCCACCGCCACCCTGCGCCATGTGTCTCTGTCGTCTGCTCACGCTGCTGACGGCTTCCGCTTTTTAACCTAGGCCTGTGTATGGCTTCAGAATAATGCTGCCTACACTGCCACCCTGCGCCATGTGCCTCTGTCGTCTGCTCACGCTGCTGCCAGGTCCATACTGATTCATGGCCACCTGTACCGGCTCCTCATGAACGTGGTTCAGCGGGTTTGCATCACTTAACGGCAAATCGTTGACAAACGCTGGGACGTTCAGTGTTGTGCGCATTAAGCCAGACACCAAAGGGCAGCACAGACCTGTTATTACTCGCTCAAGCATGGCTGAACAAAAACCAGTCTCTACCACAAATTGGACCCAGACCTGCCCAGGGTCTCGTAAGTAGATTGCACGGAGGAGTAGAGTTCGTTATTGGAATTAACTGTGAGGGACTTTTAAACCTAGGCCTGTGTATGGCCTTCAATTGAAGCTGCTTCTGCTCCGCCACTCTGCCATTGGACTCTTGATAGTCGTCTCCCCACGCTGCTGGGGGGACTTTTTAACATAGGCCTCTGTATGGCCTTCAATTTTAGCTGCTTACGCTCTGCCACTCTGCCATGGGCCCCTGTACTGCCTCCTCATGCTGCCAGGCCCGTAATCTGCCATGGGCCCCCGTACCGACTCCTCATGCTGCTGCCAGGCCCGTAATCTGTCATGGGCCCCTGTACTGCCTCCTCATGCTGCTGCCAGGTCCAGAGTGTGTCATGGGTCCCTGTACCGCCTCCCATTGCTGCTGTCTCCATCGCCACACTCTGCCATGTGCCACTTTCAGGTCTCCTCACACTGCTGGGTGGGTTCCATTTTGTCATAGGGTGCTGTATGGCCTCCCATTGCTGCTGCCTCCACCGCCACACTGTGGCTCCACACTCTGGTTTTGGCCCCGTGACTGCCCAAATGAGTGAAGTGTGCGGTGATTCTAAGATCGACGGCACTCATCTGCATGTCATACTGACTGACAGTATTATTTCTCTTCCCCAGCAGACTCCAAGGGCATTTAAATTAAAGGTACAGTGTTCTGCACTAATATAAAGGCTCTCTGAAGCCTAGAAACACCCTTTTTATAAGTTAAATTCGCAGCGAATATATTCGGCTCGAAGCGAATTTATTCGGCGAATTCGGCGAATCAGCCGAACCGAATTTTTGAATAATTCGCTCATCTCTAGTTCTAATCATTTCCCACTCCATCCAAAGTTTAAAAAAAATAAAAATTAAAAAAAGCTTGACATGCACATTAAAGAATGCAGCTACCTTATCTAAAGATCAATAAACCACAACATACTGTATATTCCATTTTTATTCCTGAATATAGATATAATTTATGGGAAAGGAATAATAATTATCTGTTTGTGGTTTTACAGGTTGGGTGACAGTTTAAAGACGTTTTGCGAAAAATGCATAAATGCCAATATTGATGAATGGGTGTGGGTCATACCTGTGCTTCATGCATTTCCTGCTGCATCCAATCCATGTGCTTATAACAGAGCCGAAGACAATCAAGAGGATATACGGACAGGTGTGGAGGGCCTCACTAATAAGATCGTGAACAAATGTGAACGGTAAGAATGTTACGTCACATTATTACATCATGTCAGCTTTGGATGTTAAACAAGTTACTTCAATACTAGTTATCGGCATGGATGTCACTCCACTTCCTCAAACTCAATCTTTCCAAAACTGAGCTCTTAGTATTCCCCCCCAGCCTGTGCCCCCCCCCCCTGACTTCTCCATCAAGATCAATGACACAATCATCAGTCCCTCCCCTCATACCAGGGTACTCGGTGTAATCATAGACTCCCATCTGTCCTTTCAGCCCCAAATCCAATCACTGTCAAAATCTTGTAGACCTCACCTCCGCAACATCTCCAAGATACGCCCGTTCCTAACCCCGGAAACTACTAAGCAACGTATTCACTCCCTGGTTATCTCTCGCCTTGACTATTGTAACTCCCTCCTCATTGGCCAACCTCATCGCAGGCTATCCCATCTTCAGTCTATCATGAATGCTGCTGCCAGACTCATCCACCTTACTAACAGTTCTGTATCTGCCACCCCTCTCTGCCAATCCCTCCACTGGCCTCCACTCAGTGTCCTCCACTCCTCTCTGCCAATCCCTCCACTGACCTCCACTCAGTGTCCTCCACCCCTCTCTGCCAATCCCTCCACTGACCTCCACTCAGTGCCCTCCACCCCTCTCTGCCAATCCCTCCACTGACCTCCATTCAGTGTCCTCCTCCCCTCTCTGCCAATCCCTCCACTGACCTCCATTCAGTGTCCTCCACCCCTCTCTGCCAATCCCTCCACTGACCTCCACTCAGTGTCCTCCACCCCTCTCCGCCAATCCCTCCACTGACCTCCATTCAGTGTCCTCCACCCCTCTCTGCCAATCCCTCCACTGACCTCCATTCAGTGCCCTCCACCCCTCTCTGCCAATCCCTCCACTGACCTCCACTCAGTGTCCTCCACCCCTCTCTGCCAATCCCTTCACTGACCTCCACTCAGTGTCCTCCACCCATCTCTGCCAATCCCTCCACTGGCTTCCATTCAGTGTCCTCCACCCCTCTCTGCCAATCCCTCCACTGGCCTCCACTCAGTGTCCTCCACCCCCCTCTGCCAATCCCTCCACTGGCCTCCACTCAGTGCCCTCTACCCCTTTCTGCCAATCCCTCCACTGGCCTCCACTCAGTGCCCTCCACCCCTCTCTGCTAATCCCTCCACTGACTTCCATTCAGTGTCCTCCTCCCTCTCTGCCAATCCCTCCACTGACCTCCATTCAGTGTCCTCCACCCCTCTCTGCCAATCCCTCCACTGACCTCCATTCAGTGCCCTCCACCCCTCTCTGCCAATCCCTTCACTGACCTCCACTCAGTGTCCTCCACCCCTCTCTGCCAATCCCTCCACTGGCTTCCATTCAGTGTCCTCCACCCCTCTCTGCCAATCCCTGCACTGGCCTCCATTCAGTATCCTCTACCCCTCTCTGCCAATCCCTCCACTGGCTTCCCATTGCCCAACTGATAAAATTCAAAACATTAGCAATAACATATAAAGCCATTTATAACTCCACCCCAAATTACATCACCAATCTTGTCTCTAAATATCACCCAAACCGTCCTCTCTCCGCTCCTCGCATGACCTCCTGCTCTCTAGCTCCCTTGTCTCCTCCACCCATGCTCGTCTCCAAGACTTCTCCAGAGCCTCCCCCATCCTCTGGAACTCTCTACCCCAATTTATCAGACTATCGCCTACTCTGCTCACTTTTAGGCGATCTCTGAAAACCGATCTTTTCAGGGAAGCCTATCCTACCCTCAGCTAATAATGGAATCTTCTACTCTTCCAACCAGTCCATCCCCCACAGTTACTACCTTTTGTACCACTAGCCCCTCCCTCCTAGATTGTAAACTCCCAGGATCAGGGCCCTCCCTCTTAGATTGTAAACTCCCAGGATCAGGGCCCTCCCTCTTAGACTGTAGGTTCCAAGGATCAGCCCCTCCTAACCCTCTTGTATTGAACTGTATTGTTGCTGTATTGTCTCCCGTTATATTGTACAGCGCTGAGCAAACTGCGCTATATAAATCCTGTATAATAATAATAATAGTTACATAAATCTTCTATTAATCTCCTGTTTTATGTAGTTGCACCCTCTTACTATACAAATGTGTCCCAGTTTTCAGTAGCCCGACTGCAATTAATTATTTTAGATTTCATATGCAGTGCCACTAAAAGCTAAATGGGATCATTAAAGCTAGATAAAAAAAATCCTTCATTTTTATTGGGTCAAACACAAAGTCAGACATTGTGAAATGATTCTATGGGATTCTATGGGGAGGATTTGGTCACACAGGCTGTATTGTACTAAATAATTGAATTTTCTTATTTGTAAGTGGTGGTTCGGATCAGAAGCGTGTTCGGTGAACTTGTCAAAAAATGAACAAATTGCAAGCTTTTAAATTGACTTTTTAGGCAACAATCAGAACGTAATTTGTTAAAATATATACTTTTATTATCCATATTAAAAAACCCAAAACAGTATTGTATACAGTTAAATGCACACAGGTTCAAACACACTGCTATTCTCTAATGGTATGCAGCTTCCTGACCACGACAACAGCATGGACAATTCACCAACAATATTGTAAGATATTGAATGGTCTGGGGAAGCCCAATCTGTCTAGCTTCAGCTCAACATGTTTCACCCTTACTGTTTCTTCAGGAGATTAATATCATATCTATTTGAACAAAATACAAGATACATAAGTTAACGTGAATTGTACAACCAACATAGACATCATTAAATTGGCCTAGTACACATATCACTTACAGCTTACCAGGGTGTACTAACAGCATGGGAGGGAGACATTTAGGGCCATGGTGTATCCTGATTATGGATGCGGGGCACAGCCATAGTGTCCTATATAATCTATGTATTAGACACTTCCAACAGTATACATCCATCAAAGTATATAAGGTATATACGCTGTATAGCCTGACGATTGAAAATTTAAAGGACTGCAAGAGGAAGAGAACCATTCATGTAATTCCTCCCCGTTAACATGCCACAAAGGTAGTAAAGGGTTAAATCTTAATGGGTCACTCACCATATGACTACATCTTAATGCCCCCAATCCTATGCTTTATCTCATGGGAACAATTCAGCACAAAAATGCAGATGTCCTATTCTATACTAGGAAGGTTCCATGAGGTCAATATTTGCACTTATGGTCACAGAATCCCCTTTGTTTTGGAACCAGGAGCATTCATTAAAAACGTGAATCAAATGAGATGCTGTTACAACTAAAATTCCCTACAATACATCTCTTGCAGATCTATGGCCAATCACTTACCCCTGTACTGCTGTTTGGAAGGATCACTCCTTTACACCACTGCCTCTTGCTGTGTGTCCACCCTGCATCTTCCCCACCAATCCCCCCCGTGTTTATATGTGCCCTGACCGGAAGCAACATATCGAATGACGTAATCCAGTGGTGGGCAACCTTTTTTTTCAACTGAGCCAAATCTCGCCAAAACCACGATTGAAATTTATTTTGAGAGCCACATTTTTAAAACTGAAAATACATAGGATGGTACACTGTTTTTAGTTTCAATAAGTTTTTATAGTAATTCATCCTCCATATAGTAATTCATTCCCCATAGTAATTCATCCCCCATATAGTAATTCATCCCCCATATAGTAATTCATCCTCCATATAGTAATTCATCCCCCATATAGTAATTCATCCCCCATATAGTAATTCATCCCCCATATAGTAATTAATCCCCCATATAGTAATTAATCCCCCATAGTAATTCATCCCCCCTATAGTAATTCATCCCCCATAGTAATTCATCCACCATATAGTAATTCATCCCCCATAGTAATTTCATCCCCCATATAGTAATTCATCCCCCATATAGTAATTCATCCCCCATAGTAATTCATCCCCCATAGTAATTCATCCCCCATAGTAATTCATCCCCCATATAGTAATTCATCCCCCATATAGTAATTCATCCCCCATATAGTAATTCATCCCCCATATATAGTAATTCATCCCCCCTATAGTAATTCATCCCCCATATAGTAATTCATCCCCCATATAGTAATTCATCCTCCATAGTAATTCATCCTCCCTATAGTAATTCATCCCCCCTATAGTAATTCATCCCCCATATAGTAATTCATCCCCCTATAGTAATTCACCCCCCATATAGTAGTATCCCATCCCCCATATAGTAATTCATCCCCCATAGTAATTCATCATCCCCCATATAGTAATTCATCATCCCCCATAGTAATTCATCCCCTATAGTAATTCATCCCCCCTATAGTAATTCATTCCCCCTATAGTAATTCATCCCCCATAGTAATTCATCCCCTATAGTAATTCATCCCCCCTATAGTAATTCATCCCCCCTATAGTAATTCACCCCCCATATAGTAATTCATCCCCCCTATAGTAATTCATCCCCCATAGTAATTCATCCCCTATAGTAATTCATCCCCCCTATAGTAATTCATCCCCCATATTAATTCATCCCCCATATTAATTCATCCCCCCTATAGTAATTCATCCCCCATATTAATTCATCCCCCATATTAATTCATCCCCCCTATAGTAATTCATCCCCCATATTAATTCATCCCCCATATTAATTCATCCCCCATAGTAATTCATCCCCCATATAGTAATTCATCCCCCATATAGTAATTCATCCCCCATATAGTAATTCATCCCCCATATTAATTCATCCCCCATATTAATTCATCCCTCATATAGTAGTAGTAAGTAAGTAGCAAGTAGTAAGCCAAGTCCCTCCTGTGTCAATTCACTTTACCTTTGCTCCGCGCGTTCCTCTCGCCGCCGTGTTCCCGCGCCGTTCCGTTCTTCAGGGCGGACTGAGAGGAGCCTAGCTCCTCTCACGTTCGTCATGCTGCTGCCCCGCCTACACACATCCTGACATCCAATCACTGGCTATCAGGATGTGAGTGGCAGCGAGACTGGCCAATCATTGCATTTGAGCGCGCTGCCCTGGCTGTTTTTTTTTTTGGATCACGCTGCAGAGTCCCTGCTGCCCGAGAGGAGGGACGGGAGCGGGCGCCCCGGCACACAAGAGCCGCATTAAAGCGTGTAAAGAGCCGCATGTGGCTCGCGAGCCGCGGCTTGCCGACCACTGACGTAATCCATCCCGGCCACAACTGATGCATTCATTGTTACCAGCCCACAATATGTGCACTCCCAACTCCCAAGAAACCTTGACGGAAGGGCAGAACATAATGTTGGGTGCGCAGATGTGCACCCACGGCAAGGAGGCTTGGCCAAGCTCAAGCCACTGGTCCATCCTCATTGGTAGTCAAAGTGGTTGTCCACATCTGATCTTCACTCCATATAGTCATTAATGATATGAATTGGGTGCTGTCTGTGACTACTTCCAGCAGCCAGGCCTGGGGTATACATGGTGATGAAGGTCTTGAAAGTCTCGCTTAGGCAGCCACAACCACTACTGCTGCTCCTTTTCCTGACCAAAGGACCCAAGTCACATTGGCTATGAAAGTGGATTCTCCACTCTCTAGGAATGTAACAGATTCCACCACAACACCTCTTTCATATGGTGCATTTTTTGCTCTGTGATGGCAAAATGAGCTGTGACATTTTCCCTTTTGCAATTTGGATAAAAATATGTGGCAAATCAGTAATGGTCCCTCTCCTTGATAACCCAAATCTCAGGTGTTCCTACACAGGATGTACAATGTAAATAAGCCCATCCACCACAAATTTCTGGTGGCTAAGGAACCCAAGTCCCCATGTCACCAAGGACAATGGTGTCCACCTCAACCACCTCCCCTTCCCATACTGTCCAAACCACAGGGTCATGTGAACCCTGGTGCTGGCCATGAGATCCAGTGACACAGACACATTAAAGTATAACTAAAGGCAAAACTTTTTTTAGTTCTGGGTGGAGTGGAGAGGAATTGGAACTCCTGTCAGTTTTTATTGCTGTCTATGCCCAAGTTAGGAAGATTCTCTCTATATTTGTCCTGTTTACCATTATCACTGAAAGTGAAGATAAAAGAAACCCCAAATTTTGGGTTGTCGCTAGAAGAGTAATAGAGAAGAAATGTTCCAGTGGAGATACTAGTTCTGGTGACCTGGGGGGGGGGGGGGGGGGGATCCCAAGGAATTCCCTTCATTTGCATAGTTTTTCTCACTTCCTGTTATGGCTATGGGACAAGAAGTGAAGATAAATCTCTCCAATGGGACACAGAATGCAAAAAAAAAAAAAAAAAAACTGACAGGGGTTATATCGGTAACCCTCCCTTACTCTATCCAAG